TGGAATTCTAACTCGTTTAGTCTCAAAGCTTTTCAAAAATTTCGAACCTAAATGGCACGGTCTGATGATGTGCCACAAAGGGAAGGGGAAGAATAGGGTATTTAGTAGTGGGCTTGTGATGGGCTGCAGTGATAGTGATGTTGTGCATGACTTGTACGAGGGGCTCATTTGACACTATATTATTATATAAAAAGTATTTTTTATAGGATATAGTGACAAATTAGCACACAGTCCACCTGATGGTAAATGGTTGCTGCGGCCCATAGACATCTACATCTATCACATCTACATCATCGATTACAAATCAAAATGCAGATGCTTTGTCACCCGTGAGGACTAAGATGGAACGCCTCGTTTCTAGTAAAAGGGTCTCCGGTTCTCTACACTCACCATATGAAACACAGCAGCATTAAGCTACTATTTCACGCTGGTATTCTGTGAGAGCGTGGTCCTTCCCCGGTCGAGCCGACCCATTCGTTCTACAACTATACTACTAATATAACTGCAGCATGGCTCTACCATGTATAAAAAAGGAAGTATTTTATATCTAAAAAGTGTTTTTGACTTCTTACTAATTGTTCGGTAGGGCAGTAATTAAGCATCTGGCGTTGTAAGGCCGCGGGCACGTAACAAGAATCAAGTATGTGTATGTAAATTAAAAAAAAAACCGTGTATAGGGAACTTTAGAAAAACGATGAGATATTTCGTCAGTAGGTGTCGTGAAAGGCTGAGATGGAAACGGATGCAATCGTCTAACAATCTACATAGCAATGTGATTCCTCCGATGGGAGAGGACTTGTACGAGCTTGTGTCTTTTTGTTTTCTTGTGTAAAATACAGTGGTTTGTACAGTAGTTTTTCAATGATTGTTATCTGGAAGTAGCTATTTACAATTTTCAGTGTATTTATTTTATGTTTATGCGTAATTGTGTATCTTGATAAGAACAAGAAGGTTGCTGTCTATAATTTGCCCCCTTTAGTTTATTCAGTTTTCTCCGGGAGCTACGATAGTATTACAAACAAGTGGAAAAACAAAAAGCAATAAAAAAAGCGGTTGTTTTGACTGGACAACGTAAAGAAGGAAATAACGATTAGAGATTTCAACAGAAAATACTCTTTATAGTTTGTGAAATATAGTGGTTTCGGTTTAATTTAACTATATATATTTACATGCGAATTCATTCGAGTTGCGTTACGACTAATAGTGGTTAGGGCGTGTGCCCTATTCAGTTGCATGCACCCTGGGAGACGCATCATGCATCGGACCGAAACATCACGATTGTACTAAATACTGATGCCAATAGGGATGTAGTCAAACTTTTGGGAATATGTCGACAAGTTAATAGGACATTATTTGACAGGCCTTTAAAAAAAAACACAACCACACAACTCTCCAATTGTATGTATATATATTATTAACATATAGAGGATGGTTTAATCAAGGCAGTCTTACAATGACTGTTTGAAGTATTAAAGGCGACGTTGTAGTAACTTTAATTTAAGGACTTTGTATGCTCTTTTAACAATTGTCTCTTTAGAAAAATCGTAAATATAAAAAAGTAAATCGGTTAATTAAAAGTAATTGCTATAAATAGAAATCGTTGTATCGTAACTTAAATAACTGAAGAAAGATTGTCTATATATATAGTAATAACTGAAGAAGAAAAGAAAAATTGTTGGAGCTATTTCGCATTAATGTAGGATTTATTTTAATTAAAGTCGATAAATAAAATAAATCCTACATTAAAGAAGAGAGTCATTCTTAGCAAAGCAATGGTTAACATAAGGATTATTGTAAATCAAATCAGAAATCAAATGAAATATATTTTTGAAGACATTGAAGTGACTAACGAACTTACAGTCCACATGATGGTAAGTGGTGCAGTAGCCACTTACCATCATGTGGACTGTAAGTTTAGACTGTAAGTATAAAGACAGTTATGTCTATGTATGTTTATATTTAAAAAAATCGACCAATAAGTTATAAAGCTCTAGGCGAGTAGACGGTGTTAGAAACACGATGTGGTACAAGCTTAATCGCGCCTATAATAAGCTAGTAAAGTTTGATGGATTTAAATAATACTATACATCGTATAATATTTATGCAATGCTCTAGAAACTGTTGCTAGGTGAGTCTGTATGGCCGTCTGAACGTGATGGATGCCTTCGCTGTTGCTATGCGGACGCTCGACGGATCGAGAACCCATTACTAAGTAGGTATGACATAATAATTAATAGTCACGTTTGTTGTACATTTTCGTAATCATAAAATCTTCTAACACGAGTTTGAAATTTTGACTATATTTTATTGCGATAGAACAGTTTTTCTCATTTCTTAAAGAACTGTTTATTAAAGATGTATCTTTAAAAAGGGATTAAATAATATACTAATTAGTTTATAATTCTGATATTTTTAAATGATGATTGCAAAAAAAGATCCCACCAAAAACGTTTTTATGTAAAGTATTGCCAAGACGAGACCTTATGGCTCGCACTGTCAAAAGTTATCAGATCTCATGTAGAGCCAAGCTTCTAACTTTACACGCCCGTACTCTACAAGCCCTAAGTTCACAAACTCTACACCTTAGTCAAAATATGTGGCTGGTGAGCTGAACTACTGCTGTTGGTGATGCTGCCCCCTATCTTATTTTTCTCATAATGTTTTCTTTGAAAGAACTATTGTATATCAAAACAGTAAAGAACAGTTAGTAAATTTTTCATCTACGCCCATGTGACGGTAGCGAAACGGCTAAGCCGTGGGCGTGTAGAGTTAGAAGCTTGGCTCTATAGATCTTTTGATTCAAAGACGATCGTCTTTGAATCATTTTACATGAAAATGGTTTTGCTGAAATTTAACTTCTTTTTGTAAGTTATTTATGTCAAAATGTTTTTATTTTATTAATTTTTCTCTCTTTTTTCTCTCTTTGGTGTATTTCTTGCACATCAAGGGCAGCTTTTTTTATAGCCTACTCTCTATCTCTGCCTTTTTTGTTGATTAATTTACTGTTTATAAGAAGCGATAGATCAGGGCGATACTTGGCTCTTATGCAATTATATTCGAATACAGCTAACTGTTGCGCTTTAATATTACGAAAATCAATATTTATATTTTTTATTTGTAATAAGAAGTCTGAGACGTACTCTTGTATAATTTTCAGATCTCTAGCATGAAATTTACTTTGTACGGGAAAACTTATATACAAACTTCTATCCTTTAATTTAAAAGGTGGTGATTTAAAAATTATGATATATGTATTTTAATATTATTATTTATAACAAGGAGTAACAAGGAGTCCCTATATCAATTTTCAGAACTCTAGCATCAAAAATTTCCGAAGTCTCATACAAACTTCCATCCCCTAGTTTAAGAAGTTGGGGAGTAAAAGTTCCAATTTATAGAATTTTTTTGTTGATTGTGTACCAATACTAGTAAATATACCAAATTTTAGCTTTCTAGGACTTCAGGAATTTTCATGGTTATCAGTGAGTGAGTCATTGACGAAATCGGGGATATCAGATATCAATCAAATCTAAAGTATGAGAGCTATGTATATGTTTAATAAGTTTACTAATGAAATCATATCCTTGTTTAACTGGTATAAAATAAACCAAACCCAAGTTATGAGGGTTCAAAAAAACGACGAAGCGCTTCGAGAAAAGGTAGGTAGTGCATCGTTTTGGTTTGGTTGGCTCGTCTTAGAAACAGAAACAGAAACAGAAACTTTTTTATTCAATGTAGATTATAACAATACTTATTGAAAGTCACTTTTTTCATTTACCACTGGTTCGCAAAAAAAACCTCTGTCCTGGGAAGAACCAGCAAGAAACCCAGCGGGACTATTTTTTTTTCATAAAGCAATAAACAGAAAATTAGAATAGCTTGGTAGCGATCACCCTTCCCAGGGGTTATTATCATCCATAAATTCCTTAATATTATAATAACCCTTTTTATACAAACTTAGTTTAATAACATTTTTGAACTTCGTGTATGAAAAATTTTGTATATTTTCTGGAATTTTGTTGTAAAAGCGTATACATCGCCCCAAGAATGTATTACTGACTCGGTGGAGTCGAGTAACTGGTACTACTAGCTTGTGTCTGTTCCTAGTATTTACAGAATGAATATCACTTATTTTCGCAAAACTAATTTTATTTTTGTGTACGTACATTACATTTTCATAAATGTATTGAGAGGCCAGAGTTAATATATTAATTTCCTTAAATTTTTGTCTCAGTGACTCTTTTGGTTTTAAATTATATATTGCTCTAATGGCCCTCTTCTGTAAAATAAATATAATTTCAGTGTCAGTCGCGTGTCCCCATAGCAAAATACCATACGACATAATGCTATGGAAATAACTAAAGTAAACTATTCTAGCTGTTTTAACACTGGTAAGTGTTCTAATCTTTTTTTACAGCATATGCTGCAGAACTAAGTCTGCTAGCTAGTTTTGATATATGGGGGAGCCATTGAAGCTTTGCATCCAGTGTGATTCCAAGAAAAATAGTGGTATCAATAAGACTCAGTTGCTTAAGAACCATTTAAAATTACATTAGTATTGACATGTTTAACATTAGGAGTTACGAATTTCATACTTTTAGTTTTAGTTTCATTCAAATGCAAATTATTAACATTAAACCAATTGACTAACTTAGCTATGGCATTATTTACTTCGTCGTAATTTATATATATCATATATAATATCAGATATAATAAATACATAAAATTCAATTAATAAAGCATATTGATGTTAAATTAATTTATGTTTATTCTAATTTTCATTCTTACAGCTTTTTTAACAGATTAGCAAATAAATACACGATAATTAAATTAACTCATTGCAGAATTTAAAACGTTCAGCTAATTTCTGACAATTTTGAACGAAATATATTTTTACTGTTTTATCGTAAACGACATATAAAAGTGTTGTGGTTGGTAACATATATAGGTTTACAAAGTTACTGCGATTAAAAGTTAGTGGTCTAAAGGGCTGGGTTTACCTTGGCAGGGTCCGGGGTAGTCAAGGGCCAAGTGTTTGGCAGGGCGACGGCAAGCGCGTCGTCGGAGGCGGCACAGTGAGCGGTACGTGCGACCGTCCGTCCCGCAGACGGGCCCGGCCCGACGGCACGCGGCCGCGCACACGCAACGCGCCCGCCCGCTGCGCAACACACATCTTCTGCCACCACCGCATGAAACGCCGGCACAGGACTCTGAAATGAATAGGGCAGCTTTCTACTACGTTTACTGTTGTAAACGTTCTAATGATCGTAAGAGACCTTACAACGGAGTAGTATATTTTAAGCGCGTATCCGTTGCGATAGCAGTTAAAATGTTTCTAATCGTCCCCGTGTCCTTGACACTACATTCAATGCTAGTATATTTAGGTTATTTAAACACCCTGATTTCCATAGAAAAGTACTGAAATTTTGTTGCAAGCAATAAGGATAAAAAAAGAAATTGATCGTGTGCACACTCGCGATCTATATCCAAAATATGTATAAATCAATATATAAGAACCTACTGTATTTTGTTGAAAAATCCTGAAATATTCAAAATCAGACCGCAATCCTGACAAGAGCCCAAAAACCCTCACATATCAGGAGAAATCCTGACATACGGTATCTCTAAGTACATACGGATACAGTTAGGTTAGATGATTGAGTATCTCTGAGATTGCGCTTACACTTGCAATAATATGGCTTGCCCAGTTTTAATTTCCAGTATTATTCAAAGGAGAATATCATAAACAAATCCATTATTTGACATGTATTTCGTCTGGGTGAAATATATTCAGTTTTTAATTAGGTTACGGTTATTACACATAATACAACTTTAGATTTCAAAATATTTACTTTGTCGGATCGACTATCTTCGAGATATATATACATTGCCGTGGCACAATTCGGTGCATTAGGTACCGACTAAGATTAGCTTTCTGAGCTCACACTCACAGAGCCACGGTTGCTACGGATCAACGGGTCAACTGAACGAACTCAAATTGCTCGATCGTTATTTTTACTTCTGTTTAATTTTTATATTCTATGGCACCACCAAAACTGTTACTCGTAATTTTATGTATATATACTCTTATATATATATATATATATATATATATATATATATATATATATATATATATATAAAAAAAAATATATATATATATATTCCATGAGTTTAAAAGTTGAAATGTCACAATAAACAATGTTTAAAGATAGGAACTGATTTGGCCAATACTTCCGCCTTTTATTTTTATGGTACTTATTCGTTTTTAAAACACACACATGCGGCAGTTATTTTTGCGTCAATATCATAAGTATTGAATAAGGTAGGTTTAGAGATACATCATACGACAGCAAAATGGGTAGATTTTACTACGATAGATACGTACTACATAGATATGTACTATGTTGATTTGAGATTATGTCCGTCCGCTTATTTGTGAAATAAAATAATGAATTTATACGCTTGATTTGTATACAAAGCAAGCGTATAAATTCGTTACTTTGTTAGGGTAGATTTCTAAATTTTCCGTAAATATTATGGGACTTTTTGATAGAATTGTAGAGCAAAAACGAATACGTCTCGCTTCCCGAGTACGAATTGACCAATTCGCATCGAAAATTAAAAATTTCAATTTTGTCGATGGATAACATAGTCCTATTTAATTAATTATAGAAACAAAAACGTGACAGAATAGTTTAGAAACTTATAAATTAAAGTTAAATCTCGCAATCGGGGGAGCGAGACAAATTCTTTCATGCTGTACATTTCTATCAAAAAGTCTCACAATATATACCCGTTTTATATTACAATGATCTCCAAAGACACATACGGTGAGACTATTGCTCTACTTCTAACTTTATTATTTTTTCGGTATAAATATAAAGTGTCAATAAAATCTACAATATTATTCTTATTTATTTATTCTTAATCTTTAATCTTCTATAATACTTCTTCTAGTTAGTAGACCTCTTTGCTGTCTACAAGTCCGTCTAGAGCGAGTTCTGTGTTCCAGTCTGAAGGGAATAGAGATCATTACTGGCTGTAAAGTCTTAGTCCTCAAAGATAATAACGCTTATGTAGCCTTTTTTGTTTGAAGTTTGTTGCAAATTCCATGGGCTGCAGTGGCTAATAAACATCAGGTGGACTGTAAGTTAGTGACATCAATTTTGGATTTGAGAAAAAAAAAATGAGTCTTTGAGAAACGACTACATATTTGTGCCATTTGCTGTAGAGACTATCAGTCCGTGGGGTCCACGTGCAGTGAAGTTCTTAAAGAAACTGTATCCACGACTGGTCGTCGCTGCTCGTGATAAGAGGGCTGGTTCTTTCCTCGCTCAAAGGCTAAGTATAGCTATTCAGCGAGGAAACGCAGCCAGCGTTCTCGGCACGATACCATTTTGTGACAATTAAAATTTTTAGTTTTAGTTTTTCTTTATTATTTTTTAGTTTTTTCTATATTGTGTGTAATGAATATTAATTGTTAAAATAAAATTTTACATAAAAAAATCATCTTTCCTTCCTTTTGTATAATGGAAATTCTGACTGTGGAAACTAGTCTCGCGTTAGGATTTTGTTTTCGCATGAGCCAGTAATTACATAATACTTTCATACATAAACTCACATGCTGTTTACTCAGAGAGATAGGTACACGATCCTGACACACCTATTTCCTCTTCCACATACATGCATATATCTACGCATCTAGGCATTCATGCTTGTCGGTTAAGGGTAGTCTTTATTTGGCCCGTCTTCAATTTATCCCAAATTTGTTCGATAAATTTTTTGTCTAGGGTGTCCCTTGTGGACAACAAGACTCTGCTATTTACGCAATTCAACGACAATCTTCTGTTTGTATTGGACAGTACGAATATATAATGTTTATTTCACTTAGTTACACACTAGTATTTGCCAAAAGCTTTAGATTACAAATCGTATTGAAAGTTCCATGAGTCTCCAACCTTTTTATATGTACTGAACCACAAACAGAGATACCTCTAGATCTCTCAGCAGCATTATCACTGCGAGGGGTTTCGGAAACATATTTAACAATACGTTTGCCCAGCATGATAAATGAGGGTATTTAAAAAAAAGACTGGCTGTGTTATATATATGTGATGTATTTGCAAAAACAAAAAATATAAGTGTTAAAAATCGCTACGTGTGTCTTATAACTTATAACGTTTGATTAGGCATCTGGTTACTAAGGTAGGTAAATGAACGCGTAATAATGCCAGATAGAGGAAAGACGGCCGGCGCGGCGCCACCGATTTAGGACCATTGTGAACATAATCCTGCGTCCCTGAAGGTGAGGCTTAACAATTTTCCCGCTTTTGTAGCAAACAAGCTTAGAATAAATACAGATTACTATATATATATATATATATATATATATATATATATATATATATATACAGATCGAGTTATCGAAAATATTTAAGACGAGTTCTTGTCTGTTGTTTTGGTCACGGATTTACGAAATTTAAATATCTATTCACACATATTACGTCGAATAATGTCGATTTATAATTTCTTCTTCTTTATCAGCTTGTAATTATGTAAGTGGACTTTCCACAGCTGGGCATGAATCTCTAGGGAAAGTTCTTAGACGTCATGCTTGGCAGGCGAGTTGACGATCGCTCCAGATAGTTCGCAAATTTGACACTGGGTGACCACTGCACCCAGGTCTGGGTTTTTTATGCCTGACGTAATATTTACGTTTTAGGCTTAACAACTACTCTTGCAGAACTGAAAATAGCTTATGTGTTTAATATAATAATGCGTTAAGAATGATTATGGGTCGTTTTGATATTATAGCGCCGGTACTTGAAGTCCTTCAGAAGCTCTTCAATTCCGTCCTCCATGGTGGCACTACTCCAGAGGCGTGGAGCAGAAGTGCGGTGGTCTTGTTCTTTAAGAAAGGCGACAACGCTCTCTTAAAGAACTACAGACCGATTTCCCTTCTGAGCCGCGTCTACGTGCTGTTTTCGAGAGTCATTACGAATCGTCTCGCACGCAGACTTGACGACTTCCAGCCTCCCGAACAAGCCGGTTTCCGAAAAGGCTTCAGTACCATAGACCACATACATACCCTGCGGCAGATTGTACAGAAGACTGAAGAGTACAATCTGCCACTTTGCCTGGCGTATGTGGACTATGAGAAAGCCTTTGATTCCGTCGAAATTTGGGCGGTGCTACAGTCCCTTCAGCGGTGCCAAGTTGACTGTCGGTATATCGAAGTGCTGAAGTGTTTGTACAGTAGGGCTACGATGGCTATCCGAGTACAGAACCAGAGCTCGAAACCTATCCAACTGCAGAGAGGTATAAGACAGGGTGACGTTATATCCCCGAAACTCTTCACCGCTGCATTGGAAGACGTTTTCAAGCTACTGGACTGGAAAGGATACGGTATTGACATCAATGGCGAGTACATCACTCACCTTCGATTTGCCGACGATATAGTCCTTATGGCAGAATCGCTGGAGGACTTAAGCACTATGCTCAATGACCTCAATAGTGCCTCCCAACGGATAGGTCTTAAGATGAACATGGACAAAACAAAGATCATGTTCAATGTCCATGTCACACCTATGCCGGTAGTTGTTGGGAGCATTATGCTCGAAGTTGTTGACGAATACGTTTACCTGGGACAAATAGTCCGACTAGGTAAGTCCAACTTCGACCGAGAGGTCAATCGACGGATTCAACTCGGCTGGGCAGCGTTCGGGAAATTACGGCATATCTTTTCGTCAGGTATACCTCAATCTCTAAAAACTAGATTGTACAACCAGTGCGTGTTGCCAGTGATGACTTACGGATCTGAGACGTGGTCCTTCACTGCTGGCCGTATGAGGACGCTTAAGGTCGCTCAGCGAGCTATGGAGAGGGCTATGCTCGGAGTTCCTCTGCGTGATAGACTCAGAAATGAGGATATCCGCAGTAAAACCAGAGTGACCGACATAGCCCAACGGATTAGTAAGCTGAAGTGGCAATGGGCCGGCCATATAGCTCGAAGAACCGATAACCGATGGGGAAGAAAGGTTCTCGAGTGGCAGCCTCGTACCGGTAGGCGTAGTGTAGGGCGACCCCCCACTAGATGGAGTGACGACCTGGTAAGACATGCAGGAAGTCGATGGATGCAGGTGGCTCAGGACCGTGCTTTGTGGCATTACTTGGGGGAGGCCTATGTTCAGCAGTGGACTTGTGAAGG